TTTCAAAGCCCAACTCTCATGCCATTAGAAAGAGGATCATGAAAAACCTATAAAAAAATGGTTCATGAAATTTTAGTTCACTCATAAAGCTAAAGTCCGCCTGCTCTAGCAAAAAATGCCCACTGTGAAACAGTAGTTTGTATTCGCTTTTGTAGCTTTAGTGTCGAAAGATATCGCTAAAAGATATATTCTTTCCCTTTCATATCAAGAAATAAGTTATTCTCATACATAATAAAAAATATATATACTCAGAAAACAAAACACTAGTGTCATATTTTAAACGTTTTGTCTCCAAAAAAATTAATTGCTTGAATTTTATCTTTTTCTATATGTTTTAATGAAAACCGTTTATCTCATCCATCTAGAAACATATCGAAACCAATTTGATCGTCAATAAACATGAGTCACATATGTACAAATTTTACTCTCAAAATTTTTGACCATATCAACACGAATATTATTTGCCTAAAATTGAAATTAATAAAGAAGACACAGTACTAAGATGAAAAAAACATAATTAACTTACCAAAATACATTATTCAAATGTCTCATGTTCTTTTTGTTTACAATTTCTTCCCGCTAGTCATATGTTATTAACTACATTACGAAATTCACTGTTCTTTTTCTTTAAGTTTTTTTCTTCATATAAAATGACTTACAATTTACTGTTGTCTTGCTCAGAGACACACCGTTTAGATGGAAGCATCAAATTCGGCACATAATATAAACAATAATTACTAGATGACTATAGATTATCTTAGCCAATATGAGCTTGTATATTCCACAAAATAAACAAAGCTATAGTATAAGTCGAAAAAAGCGAGAATATTTACTCTTTCGTAAATTAGAACTATAGAGATAATAACAACAGCTTTTATTATCTCTATAGTTTTAAAATTCTTATCCGTTAATAAACATAACATTCGTAAATTAGCTTCCTATGCTTATATGCCATAAGATCGTTTTCAGCAAATCATATTTTGAGATTGCTAGGAGGATTATTACCGTCAATTTCTCTGATTTGTTCGGCTATTTTAACAATATCAGATCTGCCAAACAGTTCAATCAAAACATTTTTTTTGAACTGCTTGTAAATAATCGTTCATTTCAGACGTAATTAACTGAGGAATAAAACAAAAATGATGTTGTAGAGACTACTTGTCAAATCTTAGTAGTCCCGATTTGTCCCGATATTATGATTGTTCCATCAATATTAGATAAATATATTAGATGAAGTTTTCGATCGAAAAACTAAACACCACTGGCATTTTAGTATTCATTGCCATTTAGCAAAACGCCTTTAAAACAATAAAAGTAGAAGTATAAAACAGTCTCTGCTATTGTTCTATCTGAACAAACAACAAGCATGTTCGTCAAGAATTATCTAAGGAAGGACGAAAGAGAAAATAACAAATAATATGAAAAAAGTGAAAATTTAAATAGAATCTTAAAAAAGCTTTTAGTTAGGTAAGCTGACTTTATATGTACAATAATTTATGAGATATCTAATTAGGGAAAAAATCATTTGTTTTCGAATCATGTTTGCCAAGTTACTCCTGTTATTTGAAAATTTAAATAACAGGAAGTATCAAGAACTATCGCACGTATTAGGATATGATTTAGAACAGGTGGACGCTATCTCACCATTCATACTCACATTTCCCTCTAATTTTGTATAGCTAATCAAAATCTCGAAAAGTTTAAATATAGGGTTCAATTTTCGTTTTTTGACTAAAACTCATGCTTTATCGAAGACTCTTATTAGCCTAGAGCGATTCGGTATTGACCGGTAATATAGATGTTCCAAGAACAATTCATTTTAACTTGGCAAACATGATTCAAAGACATTTCACTTATTAGCTAGCTTGTAAAATTTTCTATATATAAAGTCCTATGAGGATTATCATCCTCAGCTTATATTTGAATTTTTGTCATTTTCTGTTTCGCTGTTTCTTAGCCTGTTTTTTTGTTCAAAACAGTACTTGTTTTTTCTTCGATTAAATGTCCATCCTACCACAAATTCTTCAACTAAAATTGAAAAATGATATCTATCATCTTTCAAAAAAATTGCTCTTAGTGGCAAGTGATCCCGTGGAAAGCATTTTGTTCAAAACCCCTGGAGATTGTAGAGCATATCTATCAACTTCTATCCATGGTTATTGAAAAGTAAAAGAGTCACAGTCTTTGCCAAATCACCAAGAATAAGCTAAATTGCTGATATATATTCTTTTTTTCTGAAGGAAATATTTTCGTATTAAAATAGTTTTTATCTGTTTTACAATAACCAGAAGAACAAAAAAGGATACCAATGCCAAAAACAAGCTCGTAGCAAAGAGGAAAAAAAAGAAAAAAGGAAAAATCAATCCGATTATTTACATTATTTATATTTTACAATATCCATCTGATGCTCAATCTGGAAATTAAAATAATTTAGAAAGAAGAAAAAATTAAGATGGCTATGCTTATTGTGAACTGTGTATATTTGTCCCGTGCCGTCTAACACGTTCCAAATGTGCATAATACAACAATAAATTTTGTTCATAATAAGATGGATTATCATTGCGTGTAAGTTCTTGAGGAAGCGAATCATTATTGTGAACGACGCAGTCTGGATTATGCTGATGAGATAATCGACAAAGACAAAGTTGTTGAATCGACGACGAACTTACTGGCACAATAGTTGTCAAATGATGTGACCGTGAAGATAATGGATTTTCATTGTGGTGGTTTTTTACAGCTTCAGATTGTGTAGAATGAGATGAATTGGAAGACGAAGTCGATAATGAGTTTGGTGGAGAATATTCACTGTAATCTGCTGATTGATGTGCTGGAGAACTAAAATTATATAAAGAGTTATAGAGTTTTCTTATAATACATAGTTATTAGAAGAAATTTACCTAAATCCATTCGACAAATTTCGTTTGGCTTTTGGTTCTTCGAGTAAACAACATGGATCATCTTCATGAAGACGTTTCCTGAAAAAGCGATATGATTCAACCCTTGTTGTTGAAAGTTAGACAAAATTAATCTTACATATTTTCAAACACAAATGGAACAAGTTGGTAGATACGGTAGAATACGTTGAAATAAATACAAGAACATATAATCCAAAAAAAATAAAACAAAAAATTTAAAGATTCATTTTTGAACAAGCTTGAGTATTGTATCAAAAAAAAACTTAGTCTATAACCAAGCAGATTATAATGTATTGCATAATTTCGAATGAAAAATTGTTGCTCCATAGAAGCAAATTATACGTACAAGTTATTGCAGAAAATCTCTACGAAGAATAACAGATAACTTTTCCAATGGACAGCATCTATAGAATAGGTATGCTTCGTCTTGTGAACTGGCTTTTTATCTCAAATCGTTTTGAAAATTTTGTTTTTCTCGTTATCAAGGAAAAGCAAAGTGAAGTTTTTGCCTCTCCAGTCTCTCTATACTCATGTGTATGTGTCATTGTTGATTGGAAAAAACCCGTGGAAACAGATCTTTGAAATTTTCATATTTGACTGTTACGCGTTTTTTCACAGTGGCTACATAGTGTACAATCTATAAAAGAAACAATATACTGTGAAAAAACTAGAGTTTACTAATGTAATACAGTCAGCGAGAAAATCTCATTAGGAACGCTGACACATGGATGGTGATAAATCAGAACTTAAATCGACTTATTGTAAAAAATGAAAAAATTAACAGTAAAAAGTTGATATTGCAGCGTAACTTTCAAGTTTTTTCGTTACTTTTTTTACAGTGGATACACATCCGCAATGATACGGTAAATGGGTAGCATTTCGGGGCAGTGTGTTATATAAGTAAATATAACGAAACATCATGATGAATAAAAAGAAATTTGATTTGAAAACATTTCACGCCAATCAGAACATTAATTATTGCCGCTTTGATGTACATTAACAAAGTATTCAAATTGCTAGTAATGCTATCTATCCATTGTAGGACATTATGTAACTAATGTACCAAACAACAGAAAATGTGAGAAAATCTTAAGCAGATATCGCGAAATAGACCTCTAGGGAATAAAGCCAAAACTGAAATGATGTTAGACAAGTTTTGATTTCTGTCGGGCAGGGACGCCGCGAAGTACCAGAAGCACGGAGGGGTCCTCCGATTTCGAAGTAAATCAAAAAATTTGAGTAATGCGAGTAAATATCTGATTTGCCTAATAATACGTAAGTTTTGACATACTAGACAGTTTAGTTGCAAAAAACTTCTGTTCATGCGCTCAAGTTTTTTGTTATAGTTTCTGCAATAAAACATATTTTTCATTTTTTGAACTGATTTCTGTTCTAACTCGCAGACACTTAACTGTGAAAAACAACTAAATTATTCTAAAATCTGTTGCTGTGCTTTTTCGAATACGCTTTCCTAGTTTTAGTTGTTTCCATCAAGCCGCAGTTTATATCTGAGATATAAACTTCTTTAAATTTAAGAGTAAAACGTACGGATTCATAAATGCCCTTAGGCATTGATTAATACCTGAGCCTCAAATTTTGACTTAGGGAGTAAACTTAGCGGGCAAAGGCGTTTTGTCACTAAGAGTCAAGGGTTTATACCACGGGAGTTGGGAGCCACCCAGATCGACACTCGCGTCTAACTCGCGGCGCGATCGCTCTGTCGCGATAGCGATCGCTGTGAACTCGCTCTGTCGCCACGCGATCGCGGTAAAGTCGTATCCTTTCAAGAAACGTATTTTAGAAGACTCGTGACGCGATCGCTATTGATTCGCTATCTCACGTCGCGATCGCTATAAAGTCTTGTAGTCGCGGCGCGACTCCGTGAATCTGTCTGTATCGTCAATCATACACGTGGCCAGAGTATATATATATGTTTATATCACATGGAGCAATCTATCCTTTTCTAACATTTTTCTTCAAACGAAGAAACATGCTTCTTATAAACGTATATATATTCTCGCCACGTGTATGATTGACGATATCAATGTTTTTTTTCTCAATTTAAACGAGACAAAAAAACAGTGCCGGTTATATGTCACTTTATTTCTTAAAGTAGACTACTTTTATACTCGAACTTTTTGCAGTTTATATCTGCTTTTTGAACCTTTTTAAAGTTGAACTAAACCATTAAAATAACCAATTTACAGAGTAAG